TGGGGACTATTTTCTGACTCTTTTTGAACATTTTGGGGATATTTTTGGGGTATCGTAAATTTTTCGTCGGCAATCCCCCTGTAGGGGGACACGCCCGACTTAAGGCCAGGATCACTGGGAGGGTAGCGGTATCGACTCCCTTTCTCCTCCTCGGAGCACCAGCGCGCCGTCCGCGGCGCCCTGGCCGAGCCCCCGGTCGCTGAGGGTCCAGGAGCCACCGAAGGGGCTCACCTTGGACGCAGAAGGACATACCAGTACCACGTGACCTAGCACACCGTTGCCCAAGCGTTATGGCCAGAAGGCGCCCGCCACCGAAGATAGCACAGAAGACTTCTGAGCGCGCGCGTCGCCGCTGTGGGGGCGACGCGCACATGTCCGATTATGGGAACCCAGAACCCCACAATGCTGTCATCTCTTAGGGACGCATGTTTTACTCCCGCCGGTTTCCGCTGGCGGAAGCGGCCTCATATCACTTCCGCAGAGTTCCACCGCCCTTTCGCCGCCTTCCGCCGAGGAAGAGAGATGACAAGTCGTGGAGTCTCTCTGGAGCGCCTCACACAGTGTCACCATGTTGGAGTGACGCCGCCGACGACGACGACGACGACGACGACGACGACGACGACGACGACGAGCGGCGGCGGCGGCGGCGACGGCGACGACGGCGGCGACGACGACGACCTACCTGTGCCAGGCGCCACGCCGCGTGCTCGAGGGCGCGGCGCCACGCCGGGTCCTCGCTGCGTGCAGCGCCGCCCTCCTCGAGGAAGAGCAGCGCCTCGAGGGCCGCCCTCGCCTCGTCCTCTGCGGGGACGGCTTGTGGGGAGGGACCACCGCCGAAGCTCGAGGTTCGAGGTTCGAGGTTCGAGGCTCGAGGTTCGAGGTTCGAGGTTTGCGAACGTTTCCGTCCGTCCTCGTCAGTTTCCCAGCCTCGGGACGCGTTCCAACAGCTGCGCTACGCCGAGAGCGTTCTGGAGGGGCCCGGGTCCCCCCGAACGGTCACCAGAGACCGAACGCCTGCGTCTCGGATTTTCGGCGGGCACCACTCCGCAGAGGCCCGAGACGCAGCGGATATGGATCAAATCTGGCCTCTGTCGAAGCCAGATTTTCGCCCATGCCCGCTGCGTCTCGGGTGTCCGGCATCCCCTCCCAACAAGTAGCGATCCGCCGTGCATGCGAGTACGGTCGGGAAATCTCTTGCTCGGCGTGCCGCGGCTGTCGTGGCGGCGGCCCCTACGACGCGCTACACCTGGCAGGCGGATAGCGTGTCTCCCCGGTCCGCGGGGCGGGAGGCTGGGAAGGGCTCGGGACGTGGATGCTTGAGAGTGGGAACGTGCATGGCGTGTCGCGCCGACTCGTGGTATGCCAGAACCGGCGGGGTGAAGGGGCCCCGGGACACACAAACGAGTGGCACGCGTGCCATGGCTCCTGCACAACACGGAGGGAGAAGGAGGACGAGGAGGAGGAGGAGGAGGAGGAGGAAGAGGAGGAAGAGGAGTAGGAGGAAGAGGAGGAGGAAGAAGAGGAGGAGGAAAGGGGGGGAGAGAGGGGAAAGTCTCGGGGGGGCGGGACGGCGGGGGCGGTGCGACGCAGAAATAACATGGTCGGAGCGGAGGGGGGGCGGGGTGCACTGGGCGGGCGGGGAGGGGGGAACGATCGTGGGGGCGGCACGGTGGGGGCCGTGCGACGCGGAAGAAAACGTTCGTGGCGGAGTGGGCTGAGGGCGGGGCTCCTACTGGAGCGCTGGGGACGCCGGGGGGCTCAGGGTGACTGGGCTGGGCTGGGCTCCTACCGGGGCGCTGGGGACGCGAGGTGGAGGGTGGGGGAGGTGGTGTGCGTCGCGACGCGGAATAAGATGTTCGGGGCGGGGGGGGCACTGGGCGGGGCTCGGGGCAGAGGGCCACGGGGCGGGGGTCCAACTGGGGCGCTGGGTACCGGGGGGGGGAGGGGGGGAAGTGGTGTGCGTCGCGACGCGGAATAAAATTGTCGGGGCGGAGGGGGCACGGGGCGGAGCCCCCACTGGGGCGCTGGGCACGCGGGGAGGGAGGTGGGGAAGGTGATTTGCGTCGCGACGCGGAATAAAGCGTTCGTGGCGGAGGGGGCAGTGGGCGGGGCTCCCACTGGGGCGCTGGGGACGCGGGGGGGCTCGGGGCAGAGAGTCACGGCGCGGGGGTCCCACTCTGGCGCTGGGAACGAAGGGGGGGGGCGACGCGGAATAACATGGTCGGAGCTTCTTAGACACCCTGTGCAAGATAATAAATAAACACATAGAACAGGATTCCCCCTATTTCCCAATAGTTTCTGGCTTCTTGTCTTCCCCCACTTCCCATCTTTTCCCATGTTGACTGGGGAATCGGCGATCCAGTCTGTGTGTGTTTTTGTTCCCCTCCTGACGGAGCGGCATGCCAAGAGGAAGTTCCTGGCCGTAGAAGTCCTGCCGAACGGTCTTGCGCCGTCCCTGGGTGCGTGGCTCCAGTGGGGGCCCGCGGTCTGGACTGTTACTGCTGCTTGTCTGGTGCTCGTGTCGTCGTCCTCGTCCTCGGCCCGCCCGTGACGCAGCCACGAGTCCCCCCTGCGGTTGAGTCGGGCCTGTCCTCCTAAAGGAGGATTTTAAACGAAAAAGCAATGATCAAAAAATGTCCCCAAATGGCGAAAACATATTCAAAAAATCGTCCCCGGATTATTTTTCGACGATTTTCGAATATTCCTCCTGTAGAAGGACAGGGCCGACTTGACCCCGCGATCACCCCGCGATCACCCCGCGACCCACCCGCAGCCCACTCGCGACCCACCCCGCGCAAGCCCCCCTCCACTCTGAGTCGCACTCGCGGGATGCTCCGTGCTCGGACCCCCGACGCCGTGAATGTGCGGCAGCGTCGACCCCCAGATTCCTCGACCCATTTTTATGTCGTGCCTGTCCCCCATACAGGGGGATTTTCGACGAAAAATAAAAAACAATAAACAAAATATCAAAATATAGTTTTTAAACAAGTCCCAAAACTATGTGTTATACTATTGCTTGACTATGTTTGGGTTTTTTGTTCGTCGAAAATCCCCCAGTAGGGGGACAGGCCCGACTTAAACCCATTTCCCAAGGACTGGTCTCTCATCCCGAGTAGTTGTTTGATGGTCCCGAGGCCCGGGAAGAGCCCCCAGAGGTCGAAAATAGCCAAAACCTGCCGGCGTGATTTGCTTATGACCCGAGGGGGTCTGGGTATACATCCTGCCCGCAGTCCTCGCTTCGGGGCCGCTCCAGCACCAGCGCCGCCTCCTGCAGCGCCTCCAGACGGTAGAACAGCTCCCCCTCTGTGCTGACGGGCCCACCCAGCGCCTCTCGATGCTCTCCTCGGAGCGTGTGCTAGCGCCAACGCGCGCTAATCCGCCGAAGCCCCTCGATACCCATACCCTTTCGGGCCATGAAAAAATCACGACGGGATGTTCGTAGCCGTTTTCGGCCTCTGGGGTCCCTCGCCAGTCCCCGAGACCGTCAAGAACTACTCAGGGTGAAAAGCAGATCCTAGGGAATTGGTCAAGACCTCTGGGGGTCGACGCTGTGAACAGCGTCGTGACTTTCGGGGCCTGGGTACGACGCGCGCGGTGCAACGAGGGCCGACATCGACTGCGGGCTCTCGGCGGAGCCTGACGGGGCCAACCACACATTGGGCTAACACACGTCCTGAGGATCACCGATGATCCCCGGAGCGTGAGCTAGCGCAGACGCGCGCGCCTGTCCACCGAAGAAGCCCCTCGAGGAAAGGGAGGAGGAGGAGGAGGAGGAGGAGGAGGAGGGGAGGAGAAGGAGAGGAGGAGGAGGAGGAGGAGGAGGAGGAGGAGGAGGAGAAGGAGCAGGATCCCTTCCCCTTCCTACGTATGGTGGTGGCTGAGACGCAGGCGGCCCTGGCACAGCGAGGGCCGACACAGACTGCGTGCCACCCGCGGAGCTTCACGGGGCAAACGCACTCCAGACTTCGTAATAAAGGGAGGGGGGTCTCATTTCAGGGGGGGTCTTTCCCAGGCTATCTTGGAGGGCCTGGGGGGGTCTGGGGGCGACGTTCTGGAGGGTTCTCCCACGGCGGGGGTCTGAAATGGCTTAGCTTGGAGGGTCCAGACCCCCTCCCTTTTATCACGAAATCTGGAGTACCCAGACCCCCGACGTCGTGATTTTTTCGCGACGCGACCCCCAGAGGTCCCGACCCCTTCCCCGGGACCGGTTTTTCGTCCTGAGTCGTTTGTTGACGGTCCCGAGGCCCGGCGAGGGCCCCCAGAGGCCGAAAATGGCGAAAAACCTCCCGTCGTGTTTTTTTCACAACGCGAGGGGGTCTGGGTACACCCTGCGAAATGCTTAAAAAATCATGGGTTAAGAAACTCAGAGTCTCAGAATTTGAATAAAAACCCAGAACTTCTATCAAAATCTTAAGATTTACATTGAAACATTAAGAATAATCGAGACTCTCGCCGAAAACTTAGGTTTTCTTAAGCATCGCCTACGGTGTACACTGGCACCTGTTTTGCAACAGTCCGCCCTGCTGCCCACATGACCGGCCCCGCTCGTGCCCCCCCCTCCCCCCGGGCCACGCCACGACGGCTCGCGCCGGCGCCGCCCCCGGGCACTGGCCCTCCAGCAGCCTGCCGAGAAGCGGCGCCGGCGCGACCCGTGACGTGACCGGCCCCGTCCCCCCACCCTCCCACCACCACCACCACCACCACCACCACGACAACCACGCGCACACGCACGCACGCACGCACGTGCACCACCACCCACTACGCACGCGCGCGCGGAGCCACAGGTCCGCTACGACCCGCGTCCGCGGATAGAGAAAATCAGCGCCATGGTAAGGGATGGGAGGGAGGGGTAGGACGTCAGATATGACGCGAGCGCACCTAGCTTGCCCCCCCTCCCCTCCCCAGACCTCCTCGCGTCGTGAAAAAATCACGACCGGAGGTTTTTCCCTATTCTCGGCCTCCGGGGGCCCTCGCCGGGCCTCGGGACCGTCAAAACACGACTCAGGACGAAAAACCGGTCCCGGGGAAGGGGTCGGGACCTGTGGGGGTCGCGTCGTGACAAAATCACGACGTCGGGGGTCTGGGTCTGGCCACGCCCGGCATGGTCAGGGGAGAATCAACGGCCTCTCGGGTTGGCTAACACTTTCTGGTCGGCGGGGCGAGGGCGAACCTCTTCCGCTAAAAGCGAGGCGGGCTACGCACAGCTCTCATTGGGGAGACAGGGCACGGGCGGGCGGGGCCTCCGGCGGCCGGAGAGGGCGGGGCCCGGGGTGCGGGCGGTGCCGAGGAGCTTGCACAGGAAAAGGTAATGCGGGATGACGATTCATAAAAAATTGGAAAGAACGATCAAAACATAGTTTCTGCTATGTCTGCACAACTTTCTGACTGGAGGAAAACGATTGATTCAAGAAACAATGGTCCAGCCCGCGGCCGGTTCTTTCTCATCGTCCTCCCGGGCGCCGCCGCGTGAACACGGCCCCCGGCCATTTACGAACCGTCATCGTCCATCACGCCGCGGACAGGAGCCTTGGTTTTTCCGCCAAATGATCAAGGATGCTCCTCGATGGTCCTCGCCGAAGGAAAAACGCACACGTCCGAGCGATGCCAAGGGCACAGGCGGGCGGGGCCTCCGGCGGCCGGAGAGGGCGGGGCCCGGGGTGCAGGCGGTGCCGAGGAGCTTACAAAGGAAAAGGTAATGCGGGATGACGATTAATAAAAAAATTGGAGAGAACGATCAAAAAATAGTTTTCTGCAATGTCATGCACAATTTTCTGACCGGAGGAGAACGATTGAGTAAAGAAATAGTTGTCCAGCCCGCGGCCGGTTTTTCTAATCGTCCTCCCGGGCGCCGCCGCGTGAACACGGCCCCCGGCCGTTTATGAATCGTCATCCTCCATCACGCCGCGGACAGGAGCCTTGGGTCCCAGACCCCCGACGTCATGATTTTTTCATGACGCGGCCCCCAGAGGTCCCGACCCCTTCCCCGGGACCGGTTTTTCGTCCTGAGTCGTGTTTTGACGGTCCCGAGGCCCGGCGAGGGCCCCCGGAGGCCGAAAATGGCGAAAAACCTCCCGTCGTGATTTTTTCACGACGCGAGGAGGTCTGCGGACAGGAGCCTTGGGTCAGCCAACACACGCCCTCGGGATCATCGGGCCTCGGGGTCGCCGATGGCGCCCGCGGGCACTGCCCGCGCCAGGCGCCAGGGCCCCGCCGGCAGGCCCCGCTCGGCCAGCAGGCCGCCGTTGGTGGCGAAGAGGCCCCCGGGCCGCGCCTCGAGGCCGACCTCGGCGGCGAGGGCCGCCCCCAGACTTTGGGTGACCCCAAAAGGGAGCCAGCTGAAAGGGGGTGGTGCAACAGATTTGGGGTAATTGTGTTGCAAATGTAGTGCGCCGGAGAGATGTATCGCATTGTGTTGCAAGTCATGTGTTGCACGCGAAAGTCCAGCGATACATCTGCGGCCCGGAATGTATTGTACGCCCCGAGTGTGTTGCACCCCGACACATCTCATGCACCAAATCTATTGCACCACCCCCTTGTCGCTGGACAACCTTTTGGGTCAACCCGACAGACATGATCGCTTCGTAAAAAAATCAGGGCGGCGGGTTTTTGGCCGTTTTCGGCCTCGTGGGGCCCTCGCCGGGCCTCGGGACCGTCAACAAAACGACTCAGGATGAAAAGCCGGTCCCGGGGGAAGGGTTCGGGACTTCTGGGGGCGCCGTCCTGAAAAAAATGGGGACGTCGCATGTCTGGGTCGGCATCGAATCGGGAGGTCGGGTCGGGCCCGGACGTGCGTCGGATCGGGCCGTGTCGGCACGGAGCGGGAATCGAATCGGCTCGGCCGCGCCGGGGTGCACAAAAGCGCGCCACGCAGACATCGGGGCGTGGACCTGGCGGGCATCTATCTCTATACCTATATACACGTGTATATATACACATATATGTCTGTCTCTCTCTCTCTCTCTCTCTCTCTCTCTCTCTCTCCCAGTCGGAGAGAGTGGCCGAACGGTCATTCATTGTCCCGGGGTGCGTGGCTGAACTGGGGATCCGTAATAAAAATTATGTTTGTTGCGTTGTTGTTTGTTGTTTGTTGTCGTCGTCCCATCCGCGACCCACCCGCGACCCACCCCGCGACCCACCCCGCGACCCACCCGCGGCGACCCACCCCCCCGCGACCCACCCGCGACCCACCCCGCGACCCACCCCGCGACCCATCCGGGACCCACCTGCGACCCACCCGCGCACGACCCACTTGCGACCCACCCGCGACCCACCCCGCGACCCACCCGCGACCCACCCGCGACCCACCCGCGACCCACCCGCGACCCACCCGCGACCCATTTGCAACCCACCCGCGACCTATTATACCCACATTGGTTGAACGAACAAATCGGCGTTTGCGGCGGGCTCGTTGTATCATGTGTGAAACTTGGGCGCCTGCGGCGGGCTTCTCCAGAGTCTCGCAAACTGCCGACGTCCCAGCACTGCCCCCCCACTCTTATCCGCATCTGCGGGGTGCTACGTGCATATGTATATATATATATATATTTATATATATATATATATATGTGTGTATGCATATGTATGTATATATATATATATATATATATATATGTACATATGTATATATAAATATATATATACACACGTACTAGAAGTTCGCGCGCGCTACACGTGCGCTTAGGTTCTACTCGCAGATGAGCCACGGGTGCCGCTGTAAGCCCGCTGTGGCCACAACGACGATTTCCAGCGTTCTCGGGACCATGCCATCGACGCAAAGAAACGCGTAGTCAGAACGCGGGGGCGCCACGTTCCCGCGCATCTCACAATCTCGTTGCCGCCTTTGTTTGGTCGATCCAACTGCGCTTTTTCTCCACTTCCACTTCCGCCTTGCCCCGTCGTGACGCTCGGTGTTTTTGCACACATGCTCGGTCTCCCCATGCCCGATCGCACACACATCCGCCGGCTCCTGATGTTGGGGTTGGCTCGGGGCCTTGTTGCGCGCGCGCGTCCCAGACCCCCGACGTCGTGATTTTTTCACGACGCGGCCCCCAGAGGTCCCGACCCCTTCCCCGGGACCGGTTTTTCGTCCTGAGTCGTGTTTCGACGGTCCCGAGGCCCGGCGAGGGCCCCCGGAGGCCGAAAATGGCGAAAAACCTCCCGTCGTGATTTTTTCACAACGCGAGGGGGTCTGGGGTGGGAGCGCGTTGTTTTTTGTTCCTCTATCTTGTGCTCCACGCTTCGCGCGCGTTTCCAGCGGTCGTTCAGCTGTCGGGTGTCTGCAGAGAGCGCGCACAGATGTCCTGGTCACCAATGCCTTTCTCTGAGATCGGTTGGTGTCGAGTCCGGCCACGGGGGGAAGCTTCCCAGACCCCCTCGCGTTGTGAAAAAATCACGACGGGAGGTTATTCGCCATTTTCGGCCTCCGGGGGCCCTCGCCGGGCCTCGGGACCGTCAAAAAACGACTCAGGACGAAAAACCGGTCCCGGGGAATGGGTCGGGACCTCTGGGGGTCGCGTCATGAAAAAATCATGACGTCGGGGGTCTGGGTTCTTTGTGGTGGACGCCAAATCTCATTCCGGCGATAATCGCACCCGTGGGAGCAGAGGGTTCGGGCTCACGGAGGATGCAGAATCATTTGCCTGGCGAGTCCCATGTATGGGGCTGCCTGGAGCTCTGACGGGGCCTCTGGCGGTACCTTCTTGGCGCTCTGGCGAGGCCTTTCAGAAAGTGAAGGAGGGGCAGGAAATCTGAGGAATTGTATAGTGTAGTCGCCCCGCTCGCTCGGGCGGATCCGCCCTGCAAGGGTGGGAGGAGCAAGAATCGCGCGAAAGAATACGGTGTAGGGGTGCCATGCTCTCTCTGGCGGGGGGGGGTCCCTGGCGCGTTGGCGGGGCTTGCCCAGCAGGGGAGGGAAGAGCACGAACATTGAGAAAACAACTGTATAGCCACACCCCGTGCGCTCTGACGGGGCTACCTCGGGTGCGGTGGGAGGAGCAAGACAGAGCAGGAACTGGATATGGTATAGCAACGCCCTTCTCGCTCTGCCGGGGCCGCCTTCGAGGGGTGGGAGGGGCAAAGCAATCTGTGGAATGATTGGGTATAGCGATGCCCCGCTCGCTCTGGCGGAGCCTGTCTGGCGCTCTGGCGGCGCCGTCCCGGCAGAGGAGGGAGGACCACGAAAGCAGAGGGGGGAAGGGAGGAAGAGAGGAGGGAGGAGGGGATGGAGGCAAGGGGAGGGGGCGGGAGGGAAGGAGGGACGGAGGGGGCAGGCCCGGGCCATCTGGGCCGTCTTCGAGCGCCCTGGGGCCTCCCGCTCCCGCTCTGTGGCCCATCTTGAGCCTGTCCTGTGGCCTCTCTGGAGCCGTCTTGGGGAGCTTTTGGGGGCGTCTTCGGCGGTCTTGGGGCGGCCTTGAGGGGGTCTTCGGCCGTCTTCGAGCATTGGAGGCTCGAGAACGCGGGAAACAAAAAACATGATTGGAGCCTCTTTGTGCTCTCTCGGGACGTCTCTCGGAGCTATCTTGGGGCCTCTTGGAGGCCTCTTGGGCTGTGTGTTGGCCGTCTTGAGCTCCTCTGGGGCCACGTTGGGATCATCTGGGCCGTCCTGGAGCGCCTTGGGGCCTCCCGCTCCCGCTCTGAGGCCCATCTTTGGCCTCTCCTGGGATTCTCTTGGGCAGTCTTGGGCTGCTCTTGGGCAATCTTCAGGCTCTCCGGGCCCGTCTTGGGGCTCTTTTTGGGGCCTCTTCGGCGGTCTTGGGCCGATCTTCGGGGCGTCTTCGGCCGTCTTGGAGCGTTGGAAGCCAGAGATCGCGAGAAAACGACAAACATTGAAAAACACTACCGCGAAACAAGGATGTGGGCCTCTTCAGCTCTCTCGGGACGCCTCTCGGAGCTCTCTTGGGGCCTCTTGGGCTGTGCATTGGCCGTGTTGGGCCCATCTGGGGCCACGTTGGGGCCATCTGGGCCGTCTTGGAGCGCCTTAAGGCCTCCCGCTCCAGCTCTGTGGCCCAGCTTGGGCCTGTCCTGGGTTCGCTTGAGCCGTCTGAGGCTCCTCCTAGGCAATTTTCGGGCTCCCTGGGCCCGTCTTGGGGCTCTTTTGGGGGCCTCTTCGGCGGTCTTGGGGCGGTCTTTGGGGCGACGTCGGCCATCTTGGAACGTCGGAAGGTCGAAAACGCGAGAAACTGAAAAACATCGAATAACCCAATGGAAATCAAGTATTTGGTTCGGGCTCTCCGGACGCCTTTCGGAGCTCTCTTGTAGGCCTCTTGTAGGCCTCTTGGACTGTGCATCTGCGGTCTGGAGCCCATCTTGGGCCACGTTGGGGCTATATGGGCTGTCTTGGAGGGGCTTGTCGAAGTCCCCGAGGACTTCTGGGAGCTCTCTGGGGCAGTCTGGGAGCTCCAGGACCGCTCTGGGGTGCTCTGGGAGCGGTCTGGGGAACCCCATTCCTCCCATGCCCTCCCGTGCCCCGGGCCCCGCGCGCCCGGGCCTTGTGCACGGGGATCTATACATACATACATATGTATATATATATATATATATATACACATGTGTACGCATATACATACATTACATGTATATATGTGTGTGCATATATGTATATGTGAGTATGTATATATGTACGTATGCATGCATGCATGCATGTATGGATGGATGGATGTAGGTAGGTAGGTAGGTAGGTATGCATGCATGTATGCATGCATGCATGTATGTATGCATGTATGTTTGTGTGTATGTGTGTATGTGTGTGTGTGCATATGTGCGTATGTATGTATGTATGTATGTATGTATGTATGTATGTATGTATGTATGTATGTATGTATGTATGTATGTATGTATGTATGTATGTGTGTATGTCTGTCTGTCTGTCTGTCTGTCTGTCTGTCTGTCTGTCTGTCTGTATGTATGTATGTATGTATGTATGTATGTATGTATATATGTATGTATGTATGTATTTATGTATGTATGTATGTATGTATGTATGTATGTATGTATGTAGGTGTGTATGTAAGTAGGTAGGTCGGTAGGTAGGTAGGTAAGGTCAGGTAGGTAGGTAGGTAGGTAGGTAGGTGTCTGTATATAAATATAAATCGAATCGGACCGATCGGATCGAAATGGGCCCTGCCTTGGCGGCTAGGCCGCGCCGCCGCAGGTCCGTGTCCCCGTGGCTCACCGGGATGTAGGCCGTGACGTGCTCCGCGCGCCGCAGGGCCGCGGCCATGCTGCAGGCCCGGTGCGCGGCGGCGGTGCGGGCGAGGTGCGCCGTCTCCTCCATCATCATCATCATCACCACCACCACCATCATCATCATCATCATCGTCATCATCATCGCCATCATCATCACCACCACCACCATCATCATCATCGTCATCATCATCGCCATCATCATCGCCATCATCATCATCATCATCATCATCATCATCATCATCATCATCATCATCATCATCATCATCAGCAACAACACAATCACCATCGTCATCATCATCCCAATCACCACCACCATCAGCACCATCAGCACCATCACCATCACCACCGCCACCACACCCTACTCGTCACCGTGACACCATCACCGGCGAGGCGCGCCGACTCCTCCATCACCACCACCACCACCGTCACCAGCACCCCCATCTCCCCCCCCCCACCACCTTAGTGGGCCCTGGAAACGGCAGGGCCGTTTTTTCACCGTTTCCGAAAAAGTGCCCCTTGAAAATGGAAACGGCAACAAAAACGGCGACCGGAAACGGCAACAAAAACGGCTCCAGGATTGGAACCGGAGCGGGAACCCGTAAAAGAACACGGCGACGGAACTGGTGTAAACAAACGGCGTCGGAACGGGCAACCAAAAACGGCAACACGGCACCGGGAACAGAAAGGGCCCTGTCGTTTCCAGGGCCCACCGAGCCCACCACCACCACCACCACCACCACCACCACCACCACATCAGAATCACCGCCATCACCAGCGAGGCGCGCCCACTCCTTCATGCTCGTCTGGCTCCGCTGCGCGGCCCGCTCCAGCGCCTCGGCGGCCAGGGCCAGCGCGTCGCCCAGCGCCAGGCGCAGGCTCTCCTTCACGGCCAGGGCCTCCGCCACCCGCTCCTTGAAGAAGTCGTCCTCGTTGAAGCGGTCCGCGGGGTGGGCGAGGACCTCCTCCAGGCGCGCGGGGAACGCGCCCTCCACGGCGCGGTGGATCAGGCGGCCCTCCTCCTCGGTGGCCTGCGCCGCCCTCGCCAAGACCTCCCCGGCGGCCGCCGCGAAGAAGCCCGGGGACAGCCGCACGAACGCCTCCCAGGCCGCCCTCTCAGCCTTGCTGGCGGCGTCGTGCTCCGAGCGCCTGGCGCGCTCCGCCCTCACCCTCTCCAGGGCGTCGGCGGCTTCGGCGGCCCTCTCGGGCCTCTGCGCGTCCTCTCGCGGGGGCGGGGGCACGATTTCTGAGGAGGATCGATGAGGAGGAGGGGGGAAAGGGAGGATGATCGATGAGGAGGTTGGGGTGGAGGAGGAGGAGGAGGAGGAGGAGGAGGAGGAGGAGGAGGAAGGAGCCTGGTCTGTGACCACCGCCCGCGGCAGCGAATCCTCGGGGACCCCGGCAGGCGGTGGCCATGGACCTGAGCCTGACCCCCGAGGGCCCGACCAGGAGGCCAGTCTTGCCGCCGCGCGCCGAGGTCCCCGAAGACCGATGCCACAGGCGGTGCCTTGGGGCAAAGCTTTCGCCCTGCCCTGGATCCTCCTCCTCCTCCGCCTCCTCCTCCTCCTCCTCCCTCCTCCTCCTGTTCCTCTTCCTCCTCCTCCTCCTCTTCCTCCTCCTCCTCCTCCTTTTCCTCCTCCCTCCTCCTCCTCCTCCTCCTCCTCCTCCTCGCTGGATCCTCGGCCCCGGCGAGGCATCTGAAGAAGGCGCCGTTGACCTCCAGCACCACCGCCCAGAGGTCGGAGTTCAGGTAGTGGTAGCACTCCTGCTTGAGGTTCTCGCACATGCCGACAACCATCTTCTTCCGTTTGCCGATGACGTCGTCGATGGTCGGGCACGTGAGGTTGAGGTTGAGCCGGATGGACACCACCAGGGCAGAGCCGTCCACCTTCGTGCCCAGCACCTCCATGTTCGTGAGCGGGGGGAAGCACAGCTCCGCCTCGTGCGGGTACTGGGAGATCCACGACAGGTCCGCGCCCTTGTCGATCATGCCCGTCTGGATCTCCAGGATCGTGCCCGCCGCGCCGCCCGAGTACTGCCTCGCCACCTGGCGGTCGACGGTCGTGCTGAGGAAGCCATACTCCACCCCTCCCTTGACCCCGGTCGTGTCGTCCTTCACCCAGAACTGGTTCGGGAGGCGCCCCCCGGAGGTGCCCCGGTAGACCGTGACAGCCTTCGACACCTTGCTCGCCTTCACGAGGGCCGACGCAAGGACGTGGATCGTGGTGGGGTACCTTTGTTCCAGCGAGATTTTGCGAGAAGCAGGAGGAAAGTGCGAGGCGGGGATTTATCCATATTCACCGCCTGGGAACCGACGCCCTGGTGCCCCCACGGGCGGTGGATCTGGTTTCATTTTGGCCCCCGAAGCCATATATATATATATATATATATATATATGTGCGTATATATATATATATATACATATTAGTATTATTATTAGTATTATTATTAGTAGTAGTAGTATTATGATTAGTATTATTAGTATTATTATTATTAAGAATATCCGTATTACTATTACTATCATCATTCGTACTATTAATAATATTATTATTATTACTATTATTCGTATCAGTAGTATTATTATTACCATTAACATTATCAGTATTGTTGTTGTTATTACTATTATTATAAATATTATTCTTATTATTATGTTATGTATTTAAGGATTTATGTATTTATGTGTTTATTTATTTATGTGTTTAATTACGTATGTAATTATTTATGTATTTATCTATGAATTTATATATATATATATATATATACACACACACACCTCTTCCTATTGCTTTATAAGCCCGGCCAGGGGGAAATTCCGCCCCCCCCCAAAAAAAAAACGGACTCCCGGGATCTGGGGCTTCCAGGACGGCCCCAAAGAGGCCCCCAAGAGCACTCCCAAGAAGGCCCCCCGAGGCAAAAATCATTAATTCTCCATTGGTTTTTGATAAATTTCAAGGTTCTCCTCTTTTCGGCTTCCCGACGATCCAAGACGGCGGTCTTCTGGCCGTCCGAAGCCGCCTGGTAGTCTCCAAAATCGCCCCACAACCATCAGAAGGCTTCCAGGCAGTCCAAGAGAGCCCAAAAACGGCACAACACGGGTCCAAGATGGCCCTCAGAGAGCCCCATGGCGGCCCAAGATGGGCCAAAGACACCCTCCGAAGAATTCCAAATCGTGATTCGGTCGTTCAGGGAGACCGCGGTTGGAGGCAGGGTGGCCCGAGGAAGCCCCCGGAGGCCCCCAGAATACGCCCAGGTCTCCAGAAGGCCTTAAGAAAGCCTGAAACAACTTTTGTGAGGCCCCTAGAGGCTCTCCAAGGAGGAGCCTCCGCAAAAAAGAGCAGAGGAGGATGGGGAGAATGCGCAGGGCATGGCGAAAAGAAGGAAAAAGAAGCATGGAGGAAGGATAACGAATAACATCATTATAGCGGCGATGCCAGAAAAGGCAACCAGGAATTATCGTTAAATTGTCGGCTTGACCTTCCTGCTATTCCGCCTGCATTCCAAGCTTCAAGGACCAAGGTGCATGGCGCGAAGCGCCACTGCAGTCTTGTGAATATACATATATATATATATATATATATATACATATATATATATCCATATATCTATATATATACACACTAGAACCACGCGCTTAGCGCGCGCTTAGGTTCTAGCCGTGGCCACGGAACAACTCCGAAGACGGTATGAGCAGGCACAGGGCCAAGTATGTGGCGTTAGCCCAGAAATCCGACCTCCTCCCCGTCCTCCTCCTCCCCCTCCGCCTCCTCCTGCCTCTCCGCCCCCTCCTCCCCCTCCCCCTCCTTCCCCCCCCTCCACTTGGTACATGTTTTCGTACAGTTCCTGCAGAGCGCCGGGGCCCGCGATGGTGGAAAACAGCCTCCACAAGGCACGGCGCCCACCCGGGGCCGAAGACGGCGAAGAAACGTATCCAAATGGAGGCTCGAAGCCTGACGATGAACCCAGGGAACATGGAATCCTGCAGCGTTTCCCGCGAGACCAATACATGGGGAGGAGAAAGCACCAGCATGGCCTGTGGGATCTGTTTGTCGTGCACCTGTGACATGCATCTTGGGAGCCCTTCGGGGGCTTCTGGCGGCGTCTTGGGGGCCTCCGTGGCGCTTCTTGGAGTCTCCTTGGGGCCTGTTGGGGCCGAAGTCTCGAAAGGTCCGTTCGGATTCCCTGTCTGGGCCCCCGCTTAGAGCCGTCTTGGGGCTATCTTGGGCCGTCTTGGAGGCCTCTTGGGCTGCGTGGGTCCCTCTCGGGCTGTCTTGGGGCCGTCTTGGGAGCCTCTTGCGCTGTCTTTGGGCGATCTCGGGAGCCTCTTCGGCTATCTTGGAGCGTCGGGAAGCCGAAAAGGTGAGAACCACAACAAATCCTCAAAAGCCATCCAAAAACAATCATTGTGTTGCCTCTTGTGGCCCTCTTGAAAAAGCTTCTTGGGGGCCTCTTGGGGCGTCTTGGAAGCCTCTTGGGCCGTCTAGGGACTATCTTGAGCGTCTTGGACCGATCTTGTGGCGCCTCGGAGCCCTCATGCACATCTTGGTTGCGTCCTGGGGCCGTCTTGGAGGCCTCCTGGAGGCCTCCTGGGCCGGTCTGGAGGCCCCTTGGAGGCGCCAGGGCGGGGGTATTAAAAAAGGGGGCCCGATGGTTTTGAGGTGGGCGGGGCCCCTGGGCTGGGGACCTGGTATTCATCCACATTATTATTATGGTTATGATTATGATGATGATGCTGATGATGATGATGATGATGGTGATGATGGTTAGTATTATTATTGTTAGTTGTGCTGTAAATTATTGTTATTCGCATTTCTGATGTTATTATTAATAGTATTAGTATGGTTATTATTATTATTACTGATATTATTATTCGTAGTATTATTATTGTTGTTATTATGATTATTAGTATTATTATTATTACTATTATTATTATTACTATTAGTAGTAGTAGTAATATTAATAGTGCTAATACTATCTATAATATGTATATCTATGTATGGATATCCATATCAGTATCCATATCCACCTCCATATCCATGTTCATATCCGCCGCCTGTCGAGGTCCCCGAACATCGATCCTCCAGGACGTGGTCATGTACAGATTCCCGCCTCGGAGGAAAGCTGAGGGAAGGTCGGGCCTGTCCCCCATACAGGGGGGATTTTGGACGAACCATTAAATTTACCCCCCACATATCCCAAAATACTACACTTTTTAAAAAGTCACCAGACTATGTTTTGACAATTCTTGAATATTCCCTCTGCAGAGGGACAGGCCCGACTTGACCGATCCCCATCCCCAGCGGCGTGGCCTGGGCCCCAGTGGCCGGTTTTACCCCCCTAGATGGGGATATGGGCCGTTCCCTTCGGGCTTCGAGGGGTGTATCCCCAACCCCAGACCTCCGACGTCGTGATTTTTTCACAACGTCGACCCCCAGAGGTCTGGACCCCTTCCCCGGGACCGGTTTTTCGTCCTGAGTCGTTTTTTGACGGTCCTGAGGCCCGGTAAGGGTCCCCGGAGGTCGAAAATAATGAAAAACCTCCCGTCGTGATTTTTTCACAGCGCGAGGAGGTCTGGGACTGGGGTGGCAATTTGGTGGGGGTCTCGAAGAAGATGGGGATGGGGATGGGGATCGGTGAAACGATAGCGAATCCCATTAGCGTGGCCGATGCCCGGTCTCCGGAGGCCGCGCAGCGTCGTGCACGGGGCAGGGCGTCGGAAGCCCACTCCTGCAGAGGCCCCGGGCTCGGGCAGAGCGGGGGGCAACCAGGAGGACGAAGAGGAGGAGAACGAGGAGGAGGAGGAGGAGGAGGAGGAGGAGGAGGAGGAGGAGGAGGAGGAGGAGAGAGAGGAGAGGGGAGGAGGAGAAGGGAGCAAGCACACCCGAAAAAAAGAGACCACTCGCGCGCACGTGCGGCGAATTCGCTCCACATCCGCCCCGCGGACCCCTCGCGGGCCCACCCGGCGCAGATGTCCCACCCCGGATCCGGTTTTGACGGCCTCGCGGGGCCCGATTGACGGCCCCCAGAGCCAAGCAAAAACGAGCACCTTCCCGATCCCAGAACTTCGCTGGAGCCAGTTCAGGGCCACCAGCTGGCCCCCAGCTGGCTCCAAGGGCACCTGTTCTGCTTGGTCTGCCGGTCGGGCCCGACGGAGCCCACCTGCAGCGTGGCCGAGCGCTGCAGGGGGGCGCCCCCGGAGGCGCCCGCGCGGCCCGGCTCCTCGCAGCACAGATCGAGGAACTTCTGGTGCATCACCTTCCGGCGGGCCTCCAAAGCCGCGCACGGGGCGGCGCAGGGGAGCGGGCTCGCCGGCGCCGACACTCGCGCGCAGGCTGCCCGCGCCAGGGGGCGCGCGAACGCCATCGTTTCCCGTGTCGCGTGCGGCGCCGGCGGCTCGCGTGGAGCCGCACCGTCAAGTCGCTCCGTCATCTCGCGTCAGTAAGCCCAGACCCCCGACGTCATGATTTTTTCATGACGCGACCCCCAGAGGTCCAGACCCATTCCCCGGGACCGGTTTTTCGTCCTGAGTCGTTTTTTGACGGTCCCGAGGGCCGGTAAGGGCCCTCAGAGGCCAAGAATAGCGAAAAACCTCCCGTCGTGATTTTTTCACGACTCGAGGAGGTCTGGGGTAAGACCAGCTGGTTATCGTGTACGGCTGCTTTCTGGAGCTCGGAGCCCGTTGCTTTCGGCGTCGCTCGCTCGTCCGCTCGTATTGCCCCCTCCCCCCAGGCCCCCCTGCCCCTGCCTCCTCACGATGGTCACGACATGGCCCCAGGGGAGCACCAGGATGGC